CCTCAGCAGTGTACTTCGTAGATCTGCCTGTTCTGCTCCCCACTCTGTTCCTGGTGAATCCTCTCACCCTCCACATCTCTGGCCTATACCCTAATTCTGTATGAATAAATCTTAAAAAAAAAAAAAGCAGAAAGCGCCACAGATGCTTATATGTGTGAGGTAACTGATTCAACATTAGAGACAGACTATAAATGATCTTCCACACTTTTAACAGTAATGGCCTGTTAGACCTTTGACACAAGGCACTACCTTAGTAGCCAACATTTGTTGCTGGGTCTCAATCTGTTGCTGTTGGCGAGATGCCATTTCCTGAAGTTCAGCAAGAGTAAGATCCATCCTAGGACTACTAACCTACAAAAAAAAACACAAACAATCGATGTCACTACAAAAGCATCATAGTCAGTCCTCCCTCAAAGGTCAATTTACAAAAGCTCCACCTGAACCAAATGTGCTGAGATTATTCTGTCATTTTCTCCCATAACATTAAAGAGACCATTAAATTTTATATTCATTCCCACCACACTGACTTCTTAAGATGTGAAACATACAAATATACACACTTTAAGTTGTAAATTTTAAGTTAGTTTCCGCACAAGTCAAGTAATTTAGAAATACCTGTTCTACAGTTAACCTGTGTCTGAAAAGTAGCATTTGAGTGTTATAAGATACTGAAGGCACTGGCCACAAACCCAGACGAGAGTCATCCAAATACTCTTTAAAAATATGAAACTAGTATTAAGAAATTCAAGCTATACTGAGTCATCCCAAGAACAAAGCAAGGAAATTCATTCTCAAAACATCTATTCAACATTACCTTAGAAGTTCTATAGTTAGTGCAACAGAAAAAGAAAGAAACAGCATTGGAAAAGGGGAAGTTAAACCGTCTTTACTCATAGACAATGTGGTCATCTATGTAGAAAATTTTAAGGAAACAATCAAAAAGCTACCAGAACCAGTAAATTATTTAGCTAGACTGCAGGATAAAAGATCAATATACAAAAAACCAATTGTACTCCTATAAATTCCAGATTTAGAGGAGAAAAAAAGATGCTATTTCAAGGAGGGCACAGTGGACTATATGGTGGGGACTATGAGTGCGTGGTGGTGGTGTGGTGAGAAGATGCACCTGAGGAGTCTGCGGAGGTATGAGCCTAAGCTAAGCTTCTGTACTGCGTATAATGTGTAAATCCATGCTATCTCCAAAAATAATGTTAATATACAAGAAAAAAATTCCGTGTTGATATCAAAGAAAATATTAGGTACACATAAGTAGAGTTAGCAGAAAATGTTTAATACACTAGAAGCCTTAAAACACTGCTATGAGGAAGAAGGCCTACTCGAATGAAGACAGACCGTGGTGTTCATCAAGTAAAAAAAAAAATATTAGTCAAGGTGGCCATTCTTTCCTGACTGGGATTCAACAGAATCCCAATCAAATCCCAGAAGACTCTACATATAAAGTGACAAGCAAATTCTAAAGTCCCACAGAAGCACACAGGAGCTAGAACAGCAAAAACACACAGGATCTAGAACAGCAAAAACAACTCTGAAAAGAATAAAGCTGGAAACTTAATGCTGTATGACCTCAACACAAGAAATGCTCCAGTGTAGTACTGACGTCAACACAGATAAACAGATCAATGAGCAGACCGCAGCACAAAGACAGACTCATACTTCTGTGGGACAACTGATTTCAGATAAAAGGTGCAAAGGCAGCGGAGTAGGGAGAAATTAGTAATGGGGAGAAGATAGCCCATACGACTTGTGTAATGAATGTCCGTGTACAAAAAAATCCCGTGAACCTTCTCACACACACGCAAATGTTAACTCAAAAGGGCTCAGAAACTTAAGTTTTTTTTAAAAGATTTATTTATTTATGCATAAAAGGACTGGGCTATAGGACAGAGATGTGGAAGGTGAGAGAATACACCAGAGACAGAGTGCGGAGAAGAACAGGTAGATCTACTGAAATACACTGCCGAGGGGAGCATCAGGCAGGTCAGAAGAGGTCTGCTGTGCCATGTGGGTCACCTCTCTGACCAGGGATTGAACTTGTGCTGCAATGGCTGTCAATAGCTTCATACTGATTTGCTTTAACCTGCTGTGCCACCAGGGAGAGCCCTTAAATGTAAAGTTTAAAGCTACAAAACATCTAAAGTGATCCAGCATACAAATCATTAAAATTGTTAGACTGGGAAAACATACTTGTAAATAATATTTAATAAAAGAACTCTCAAATTCAATAAATAGAAAGCAAATAGTCTGATTATAAATGAGCAAAAGAACTGAGCAAATATTTCAGCAAAGATGACTCAACAGCAAATGGGTATGTGAAAAGAGCCCTAACATAATTAGCCACTGGATAAATACAAATTGAAATCACAGTGCAGGGCCCTCCCTGGTGGCACAACGGGTTAAAGTGCAGCACTATGAAGCTATCCATAGCCAATGCAGCAGGGAGCTGACCCTGGACAGGGAGCTGACCCACATGGCGCAGCAGACCTCTGCAGGCCCGCCCCTGCCTCCCTCGGCAGTGTATTTCGGTAGATCTGCCCTTTCTGCTCCCAACTCTGTCCCAGGTGAATCCTCTCACCGCTCCTGCCTCCCCCTCCACACCTCTGGCCTGTACCCCAGTTTTTGTATGCATTAAAAACTAAAATATTAAAAAACAATAAAAATTAAAAACTAAACCACAGTGCAACACCACTAGACACCCTCGACAGACAAAATTAAAAAGACTACACCAAATGCTGAAACAATGTGGGAAAACTGGGATCCTCTGGTGGGAATATAAAATAATACAATCCCTTAAGAAAAGATCATACCATAAGCCACAGTCATTCTAATCCTGAGTATTTTACTCAAGACAAATTAAAACATATTCAAAGATTTCTACTCAGACATTCACAGTAACTTGATATGAGATAATCAAAAACTAGAAACAATTCAAATGCCCATCGAGAGATTAGCAGAAAAACAAATCGTAGTATATCCTGACAAGGAAGTACCTATCAACAATAAAAAGGAATTAACTTGATATTACAACAAAATGGATAAATTTTAAAATATTTAGGCTAATTCAGGCAAAAAAAAAAAAATAGTATGTACTACGTGATTCCAGTTATATGACTCTAGAAAACACAACTAACTTATAGAGGCAGAAGGTGAACCTGCCAGGCATTTCTGGAGGATGAGGGATATGGCAAGAAGGGAAGGATTATAAGAAGATAATGAAACTTTTAGTGGTGAGGTGTATTTTCATTACCTTCATTATGGAGATGGTTTCACAAGTGTATACATGTCAAAATCTCTCAAATTTTGTAATTAAATAGGTGTAATTATCATGTCAATTACACTTCAAAGAGCTGTTTAAAAAAAAACCCATGAAGGAGGAAAAATACAACACATTCAAATCCTGTGAATAGCTAAGATCATTCTGCGACCTTTATACCTGCTTTTCCTCATTGCAAAATCACACTAAGATTGAAGAACAGAAAACAGGAAGAATGGGGAACAATACTGTACATTAGCTAAATCAGAGTCTCTTAACAAATTTACTGTACTGGAGCAAGGATACTTGTGAGCAAAGCTATCCTGGTAATCCAAAGATACTTGCTAAAATTTACAAGCAATGGCAAGAGCATTAATGTGTAGTTTTTCTTTTTTCTGAAAGTGATTAGAACAACCAAAATCCCTGTTCAGCATTTATTTTGTTCCAAATTTGCAGAATAAACAGCATTTACCTTCAGCCATGTAGAGATGATCACAATTAGTAGTTTCTATGAACTAAATCTAAAGTAGCCTTTTAAAGAAGGGCTAGAGAGTTAAAATACCACCGCAGTGCAGTCAACATGAGAAAAACAATCACTTACTCCATTCTCCTTTCTCCGATGTTCACCAGGAACTTTTACACCATTTCTTTTTAAACTTGGATCCTGAGGCCTTGGTCCACTCACTAAGCATAAAATTCAAAAAATATGCATTAACACTACAGTTGACAGATAACTATAAATTCCTATCTGAGTTCTGTTATTATTGCTTTTTTATACTGAGCTGAAAATATACTTAAAGATTTTTTAATAGCAATGGAGTTACAGTCTGTTTTGGAAAATTATTTGGAACAGTGAAGTGAAACACTAAGAAATGTCACATGCTAACTTTCCCCCAAGAAAGGAGGAAAAAATTAAAAAATAAATATTCCTGATTATAAGTGATTCACACCATTTGGCTATAGTTTCTCCTGCTAATTCTTTTTAGTTACTCATTAGTGAAATCAGCAGTATATTCACTAAGTAACTGAAAATTTAATCAAGTGATCCCTGTGCTCATTATAGTACCTGTAACTTACAGATAACTTGTAATAACTTATGTAAAGAAAGCAGCTGAAAACAAAAGTAGTGTTTTGAATATATGATTTATTGAGAACAATTTATGGTAACATAAATAATATCAAGTGCTTCCCTCTTTAGGTAAAATATTTCAATTTTCTTAGTTATGAAAGAAAATATGAGTCTCCCATTCCAACAGAGTGCGTCACGAAGCGGTGCTACACCAACACAGGGGATGCCTAAGTCCAGAAAATCATGCGTATGCCTGCACTTTTGAGAAATAAGGGAAATTATTTCAATTGCCTCCCAAGAAATATTACTTATATTTATTTTGAGTCAAGCTGTCTATTGTACCTTCCTTGAGGCTTAGAAGAAATTTCCAATCCAATAAATAAATGTATCTTATACTCAGAGCCAGGTACCATGTGGCTATTAGCTTTACTTGTAAAATAATGTTCAAAACTCTTGACAAAATAGCTCCAGTAATCTGTCACAACATATTCTGTATGGGGGGGGTAAAACTATCATTTAAGAATACTTGCTTTCTTTGCTGCCTCAAAGAAAAAGCATTGTTTCTCCCAAATGTGTTCAGTTACAAAATTAGAATAAAAAAATAATTGGGCCTTTCTGGTGGCACAGGGGTTAAAGTCTCAGCCTTATCAAGCTATCGCCAGCCACTACAGCCTGAGTCAGATCCCCAGCCACGGAACTGACCCAAAAGGCCTTAGCAGACCTCTCCTGTCTCACCTGCTGCCCCCTCAGTAGTTTCAGGACATCTGCCTGTTCTCCCCACTCTGTCACTGGTGAACCCTCTCACCCTCCTCCACATACAAACACACCCCCAGTTCTTGCATGAACAAATAAATCTTTAAAAAAAAAAAAGTAAGGCTCACCGTGGTGGCACAGTGGGTTAAAGCACAGCACTAAGAAGCTAAAGCCACTTCACCATGAGTTCGATCCCCACCCCGGAGGTGATCCACATGGCATGGCAGGCCTCTCCTGACCCACCTGCTGCTCCCCTCAGCAGTGTACTTTGTTGACTGACACAAGCTATGAGACGGAAGTGCGTGAAGACTTGCACCCAACTCCGATTGCCGTGTCTTCCTGGCGCCCACTCCCCTTTTCCTAGCAATCTCCGCTCGCCGACACCGCTCGCACCTTGAGACCCTGCCTGTTCTGCCCCCCCAATAATCCATGCTCAGGGACAAAGATTATCCAACAGTCAATCTGCCTGTTCTGCTCCCCTCTCTGTCTCTGGTGAAGCCTCTCGCTGCCCCTGCACCTCTGGCCTGTACCCCAGGTCTGTATGCATAAATAAATAAATCTTTAAAAAAAAAAGCAAAGCTTTTCAAAATAATTTTCATATACATCATTGGTTACAGATCCTGGTTATATGGAGAAAGAATATGGCAACAGTCTCCTAATCTGTAACTCCAAGTCTACCCTAGAAAACCTAATACCCTCTTAGGACACTGAAAACAATCCTGTTTTAGCCTAATTTAAACACTGTGTGGCACTATTGTTTTGCAACAATTTGAAAACAGTTCCTTTATCTTGAGGTTATATTTCTCACATTACAGATACACTGAAACTGCATATTGTACTACTGAGAAACTATTTAATAATTTACCCAGCACTACAGCAGAAGATACTAAAACTGGCAGATGATGAGGTAAAATTCGACTCATTTATTAGAAGAGGATGTAGGCAGCAATTAATGTAAATAAAGAACATGGTTTTAAAAAACATGCAACAAACACCAGCTACAAGAAAGCATATGAGAAAAAACAGGTGTTTATTTCAAGTAAAATTACAGAGATACCAGTGACACTAGAAGACAGGGATGCCAGCCTAGCTGAGGGGATTCAAGTTCCACTGCTGGCCCTGCCTCCAGGGGTGCGGCCTCTAACAAGTCACTTAACCCCCGTGTAGCACTTCTCACCTGTAGAGTGAAAGAAGCCAGTGGAAGAAGTCAATTCTAGGGCCCCACACCCTCTAAATTTCGTAATTTTCTAATTGCTGGGTACCATATACATATATTTTTTTTTTTAAAGATTTATTTATTTATTCATACAGAACTGGGGTACAGGCCAGAGGCTCAGGGGCGGTGAGAGGCTTCACCAGAGACAGAGTGGGGAGCAGAACAGGCAGATTGACGAAGTACACTGCTGAGGGAAGCAGTGGGCGGGCCAGGAGAGGTCTGGCTCGCCATGTGGTCTCCTCCGGGGCAGGCGGCAGGCGGGAATCGAACTCATGCGGAAGTGGCTTCAGATTCTCAGTGCTGCGCTTTAACCCGCTGCGCCACCAGGGAGGGCCATATATTTTTTAAAGATTTGTTTATTTATGCATACAAGAACCCCTGTTACGGGGGGGGGGGAGAGGGAAGCGTGAGAGGATTCACCAGAGACAGAGAGGAGAACAGAACAGGCAGATGGACAGCAGGGAGACAAGAGAGGTCTGCTGTGCCATGTGGGTCACCTCCCTGGCCAGGGATTGAACTCCTGCTGCTGTGGCTGCATATAAGCTTCGTAGTGCTGCAACTTACCCTCTTGTGCCACCAAGGAGGCCCCATCTACATCTTTGTATTGAAGCAGTAAAATGGAGGTTTTATAAAATCCAATAATTAACTTCTGTGGCCTACAATCTTCCAAGAATTATATGCCAAAGTCACAAAGCCTTAACTTTCCATTTTAAAAATTCCAACATTTTTAGAACTGCCTGGCAATCCTGCTGCAACCAGTGGCTTCCACTGACAACTGGACTTCCTCACAATCTTGGATTTGAAGGTCCTTATTCTCCTAAATTCTACAAGACCTGTAGGATCACAGTGATGGTTGTGGCCTCAATGTCCAGTGCAGCTTTCAGGCCACGTCTGAAAAGCTCCATCTCCATGTGTTACCTTCCACCCTTTCCTTACTGTCATCTATAAATTCCAATTACAGGGGCCTCCCTGAGTTAAGCCTCAGGCCATTACCTGAAGGCCTGAGTGTGATTCCCCAGCCAGGGAGCCAACCAACATGGTGTGACAGACCTCTCCTGACCCTCCTGTTGCTCCCCTCAGCAAAGCACTACATCATTCTGCTTGTTCTATTCCCCTCTCTGTCTCTAGTGAATCCTCTTACCCCCTCATCTCTATCTTCTATCCTAGTTCCTACATGCAAATAAATAAATTCCAATCACAACTCTCATTCACTGCAGGTGTGAACACTTGACTTCCTAGTTCTCTCCACCAACTACAACTTCATTCTCCATTCAAAGCTAACCCCTTGTTTCTGTTGTGTCTCTTCTTCACTTTAACTCAGGCTCATTTCATCATCCCACCCAGGATGACATAATCTAGAAGTGCTCTATTTCTGAAATCTTTAATCCAAACGTTCTATTTCCTTACCGTCATTTCCTCTCACTGTGCCTGTTCTTTAACCTGTAGCCTGTGGCCTCCTACAGGCGTCTACTCTTCTCGCCAGGTCCCTATTATCTTCCCTTCTTCCCCACCCAGCTTAGATATCATCTTGCCAGTACTGTATTCTCCCATCCCACCGACCTTCTATTTAGTTGGTATAGCAAAACTTGGGTCAAGTTAACCTTTTTTTTTTTTTTAATATAACCCTCTGGGCCACAGAAAACCACACATGGTTTCATGGTCTCTAATCCTAACTGACCTCCAGGCCCAGCAATCCAGCTTCCCCAGCTGGTGCCTTTCCGTGCTGACTCACAGCCATTATCACTTTCAGATAACTTTATATCCCTACCTCACAGAAAACAATTGCTTTCAGATGAGAAATTCTCCAACTTGTTCCCATAGAGCACACACCTTTATCTTTATCTGCAACAGTTGTGTCCCTCACTGTTAGGAGGGAAGAAGCCTCCTGGGCCTCTTGGAATCTTTTCACCAGGGCTGTGGGAGCACTTCGTAGGGTCTTGCCATCAAGTATTTCCTCCCTTGTTTTTCAGAGCCCTATTCTTTCTGCCAACTCCCTCCCACCCACATTAAAAATTACCATCAAATGTCTCCCACCTTCAAATTAAACAAAATAAATCCATACCCTTAGTCATCTGTGCCCCCAATTAAGTCTTAAAACAGCCATCTTTCATCACTGTTTCCATTTTCTTCCCTCGCACACACCCCTGAAATTACCTGGCTCCCGAATCCATTCCCCCTTCTCCAACTACAAAGGCAAACTTCAAATCTTTGTTCTGACTCACGGAAAGCTACCTACCCATGTCCCTGCCAGGTGGACGTTCATGACGAAGGAAGAAGCGAACTTCATTCCTCTGACTTCCAAATCTTTGCAGAGCATCAAACATCCGCTCATTATCAGCAACTGGACGTTCTAAAAAAACAGAAATCACGTTATTTGCCAGCAAAACACAAAGGTATCACTGACTACTCGCCTTCCCACCACTTATATGTTATAAATGTAGGAGATGCTTAAACCTCAGTAACCTTAGAAAACGGCCCTCCCTGGTAGTGGAATGGGTTAGGACACAGCACTGTAAGCTGGCCAGAGCCACTTCTGTGTGAGTTCGATCCTCAGCCGGAGGTGACCTACATGGCTCTGCAGACCTCTCCTGAACTTCCCACTGTTCCCCTCAGCAGTGTGCTTTGTCAGCATGCCTGTTCTGCTCTCTACTTTGTCTCTGGTGGATCCTCTGACCACCCCTGTACCTCTGGTCTGTACCTAGTTTTGTATGTATAAATAAATAAATCTTTTTTTAAAAAAACCATTTTTAAAAGTAACCTTAGAAAACAAAGTGTCACAGATTCCGCACACATGTGGTCAGCATCAGCACTGTGTGGGGCGTGGGCAGAGGGTGCTCCTGGGGCAGCTGAGTGCAGCCAGTGGGCTCCTCGCTAGCTTTGAGCACATAACCCCTGCAAGTTTCAAAGTTGCTGAAATCTAGTACATCAGGCAGTCATCTATCTGAGTCTCTAAACAGACGAGTGAAAAGGTAAAAATCAACTTTCTAAATAGCCATAGTCTTAGCGTAATCTGTACTAGGCTACTACACAGTGTTAAAAATAAAAATTAGATGTGTCCGACTGCAAACAAAAGCTTATTTAGTGCACTGAAAATATATCTATTTGACTCCTCTCCCTCTGAGGTTGCCAGCTGTCAGAACTTCTAGAGACAAAAAGAAAAGCATATCTAAATACCCTGGAAAACGGGAGCTTTATAAGAAACAATGTATTTTAAGTTTCCCTCAAAAAACCTGCATAAGAAAACCAAACAGTGTGAGCATTCAACTACTTAAAATTAAACTCCACTAACATCAAATTATTTTTAAATATAAGAATGTTGAAAGATTCTAGGAAAACTCAACACACTTGTCAATAATCAAAGTTGCTAAGTTCCTTAAATAAACAATGTGGGCAGAAAATGGAGCAGACAAGTGAGCATTTTGCAGCCCATTCTGTGAACTAATCCTGAACTTAATTTGCTTGGTTTCAAAAAGAACAGTTCTGATTCTATTTCCAGTAGCATTCAATGAATATAAGTTCCCCCTCCTATAAACCATAAAAATTCCAAGACTCCCCCTCCCCCAAAAAGAAGTTCTGAGTAGATTTCTACCCCTCCAGCAGATCCAAACACCCATATTTCTTTTCAACTTCGGACAAGTTGGACAATTTGCAGCAAAAGAGGAGGAAGTTTGAAACAAAATCTATTACATATTGAGGGTCACACTACCTATGCCAGAGGCCAAGCTAAACCCCACACAAGTAGTGTTTCCCAGACTCACATGGTCCTAGGAGACAGTACAATTATTATCCCAATTCTGTCAATAAAATACTTGATGATTCCAGAAATTAAGTATATTGCCTTAAATTAGTAAGTTAGTAAATGAAGAAACAGTATTTTGATACCCAAAAACTTATTCTTAAGCACAACACCATACAAATAACCTTCCAATTAATTATGAATGTAGTGCAATCAATCAAAATCCCAACAGATTGTTTATAGGGCCTTGAAAATTATAGAACTTAGCTGAAAAAGAAAATATACAAAAATAGGTTAAGTGATCTTTGAAAAGAACAGGACAATAAAATAAGCATTCACCTTACTGACACTCAACATACTGTAAAACTCTAGAAATTAAAATTGTTTGCTTTTATCATAAACAAAAATAAAAGTAATTAAGCTATAGAAACATAACTTCATATGAGACAGAACATAGCGATGTTTTATATTAATAAGGAAGAAACCAACAGTTTAGTAAGTCACCAAAGAAAACCAATTACCCATGAGAGAAAAATATGAGCTCCCTAAATTCACAGAGGTCACAAAAATTAATGCAGAGAGGGAAATGAAAGGAAGAAAAAGTCTAAAATTTATAGCTAGAGAAAAATAATAGGAGAGGGCCCTCCCTGGTGGCACAACAGGTTAAAGCACAGCACTATGAAGCTACCCACAGCCACTGCAGCACAAGTTTGATCCCTGGCCAGGGAGCTGACCCACATGGCGTGGCAGTCCTCTCCTGTCTTTCCTGCTTTCCCCTAGGTAGTGCATTTCAGTTGATCTGTCTGTTCTGCTCCCTACTCTGTCTCTGGTGAAGCCTTTCATCTCCTGCACCTCTGGCCTGTACCTCAGTTCTTGTGTGCACAAATAAATAAATCTTAAAGAAAGAAAAGAAAAAGGCAGGTTAATACACTTACAGTCCTAGAGTATTTTTTAAAATCACACAAACAAGTTTGTGATCCAGGACAGGGTTTTTCCCCCTACAAATCAAGAGGAAAAAGGCAAAAGCCAAAGGAAACATGACTGAAGGCAATAAACAACTTTTTTAAAAAACAAACAATATAATAGTTTGTTTTCACATCATTTTGTGCATTTTTTCATCTCAGTTGTAATCCCCATGGGCTTCCCATCACCAAATCACCCATGTGCCATCACTATAATCCAGTGCATTTCCTTCCCCGCACTGTTTTTGATCCCGTTCCCCACTCTACCCCCATAAAATGTCTCTGGTATATAGCTGTTCATTATTATTACTTTCTCGCCTGGCTCGTTATACTCCTGCTATGAGTGAAACATCTGGTATTTTTCTTTTTCTTTCTGGCTTATTTCACTAAATATGATCTTTTCCTGCTCCATCCATGTTGCTGCAAAAGGCATGTGTTTTATTTTTTTGGTTGCTGAGTAATATTCCATTGTGTGTATGTACCACATCTTTTTAATCCAGTCATCTACTTTTGGGCATTTGGGCTGTTTCCATGTCTTTCCTATTGTAGATAAAGCAGCAATAAACATGGGGGTGCAGGTTATCTTTTTGAATCAGTGTTTTTGTGTCTTTTGGGTAGATCCCTAGGAGTGGAATTGCTGGGTCCTATGGAAGTTCCATGTTTAGCAGTTTGAGGAACCTTCAAACATTTTTCCATAGTGGTTGTGTTCGTCTGCATTCCCACCAGCAGTGGAGGAGAGTTCCTTTTTCTCCACATCCTCGCCAACATTTGTTGTTGCTAGTTGAATAAACAACTTTTTTGAATGGAAACCCAAATGGCCAAGAAACATGAAAAAATGGGCAACCTTGGCTACCAGTTATAAATATTCAAATTAATATTAATATTAATAAAATAAAAATTAATCAAATTAAATAATATTAATATTATTGTATCAGAGTGGATGAGGGTTATTTTTAGGAATCACTGGCATGAGTATTATAAAGAGGAATAATAAAGAGGAAATCTGACAATATATATTACATTTTTAAATTTATCAACCTTTACAAGAAATTTCACTTCTCAATATCTACCCTAGAGACATACACGCAGTTGATAAAAAAGCCTCATGAAAGACTTTTTAACCACAGCATTTGTAAAATCTGAATAGAATTGATTTAAATGTTCATGAATAAAGAACTGGTTAGGTCACTTACAGTTTACACATACAATAAAAAATACTAATACTAATCTGAGAAGACCTCCAAGCTATGTTATAAAGTAAAGCAGTATATTATAGGATAACATATACACACAAAGAAGAAAAAGAATCAACACTTAAAACTATTTCTGTGTTTATTAGAGTTACTTCTCTGATGCAGAGGAAAAGTCTGGAAAGTTGTGCTAAGGGCTCCCTCGTGGCACAAAGGTTAAGTCTCAATGCTATCAAGCTGTCACCAGCCACTGTGAATTGAGTTCCATCCCCAGCCAGGGAGTGACCCACATGGCAGGCAGGGCAGATCACCCCTGTCTACACCACTGCTCCCCTCAGCAGTGTATTTCAGTAGATCCACCTGTTCTGCTCCCTACTTTTGTCTCTGGTAAATCCTCTCACTCCTTGCACTTCTGGCCTACACCCTAGTTCTAGTATGCATAAATAAAATAAGATAAAAATCTTTTAAAAAAAGTTATCTGATAAAAGTGTAAGTGATAGCAACAAGTGGTCAAGCTGGACACAGGTAAGAGACTTCTATCTGTATTATGTTCTATTGTATAAAATAAGAATATGCTCAGATGTTATTCATCTATTTTTTAATGGAAAAAAGTAGGAGAAAGAATATCCTTTAAATACCATCATCATTGAATAAGGGGTATGAAACTCAAATAAGCCAGACGCCCGAGAGGAAAGGGAGTAAGTGGCATCAAGAATTTCAAGGAAAACAGTTGAGTTGTGATAAGGAAAAGAACACTTCTATCTCAAAGAAATCCAAAAGAATAGCACATTCAGAGAGAATCTGAGATAACAGGAAGGATATTGAAGAAATTCATAACGGATGGTTTCAATCAGCTCAGTAAAGTATAAAGCAAGATAGCTTACTAAATGCAAGGAAGCTTCCAGAAGGAACTAGCAGCTCTTTATTCGTTTGGTAAATATTTACCTGGCACTTTCCCTGAGCTGAGGATATAACAATTAACAAGGTAAGCAAAGTCTCCACTCTTTAGGGAGTTGACATTCTAGTGCATGTGTTGGGCTAAGAAATAAAGAGGTAATAAACTGATAAATGCCAAAAAAAAATCAGCATGACATGTTACGCAGAGGATTAAGTCAAGAGAATACAAGACAGTTTCATGGCTATGTTAGCAGGAAGATCAGGAAAAGTTTCTCCAAGAAGGTAACTTTTTAGTTTAAGTTCAAATGACTGGAAGCAGCAGCAGTGATAAAATCTGGAGGGAGAGCAAGAGGCAGTGGGAATCGCTAGAACCGATGGTTCTCGTGGGGGAGGCAGTTAAGCTGACTCAGGAACATAAAAAAGCTGCAGGAGGGGACAAGGAGGAAAATGGTGCCAGATCACAGCAAAAGAAAAACCCACAACAAATCCATAGGCCGTCACCAAAGTATGGGTTTCATTATAAATAGAAGAGAAAGCCACTAAAGTGTTGAAGCAGGAAAGTCAAACTGTCAGATTTTCATTTATGAAAGAATGATCACTTGACTTCTATATGCAATGATCTGGCCCAGCTCCTCTGTGAAGGGAAACAGAAGTAAAACTCAAGGGGTGCAGAGAAGCCATGAGGACACTGACTCTGGGGAAGGCCCAAAGATGAGCAGGAACATTTGCCTGGTAAGAATGAGAGCTCAAGTGACATCAAGACATCGTGAATGGTGGAGCCCCAGTATCCAGCTCGGGCTGAGACATCGGCACCAGCAGAGGAAGAAAGAAAACTGAGAGCTCACCCAGGTTGTGGAGAAGAAAGACCAAAATTAGGAAAATTTACTCCCATACCTACACACTCCTGTGAGACCAACAGCAAGCTGCTCATTTTAGACCTCCAAAGGCTCTTACCATGTGACTGATTTAAGCCTTTAAAAAATGACCATGTTTTCTGTCATCAAGTGATTCATCACTTGATAGTGAGTAGCGTTCCCTAAAAACCTACAAACACTTAAAAGATAACACAATCAGGATGCCTCAACACTTGAATTAAGCAAGCATACAAAAAGTGCTTTTGAGCACCATACATTTGATCATAAAACCCCAGTTTCCATTTAGTTTATTGGCTGCCTAATTCACTTTTTCTACTGTGGTGTGTTCATTGTATTACAGAAAAACAGCAAAACCACTTTCTACATCACAACACTTAGGTCAAGAACACGATCGCCTGATTGACAATCTATTCTGCTTTGGATAAACACGGGGGGCACACGGGGTCACATCTATAAACCAACTGCAATGACAGTGTAATACAGCACAGCTGCCTGGGTCTCGTACCAGCGCCACACCACACTTCAGCCAAGTGGCAGTCATTCTCGCCAGGCTCTTTGCACAGATCCACCACATCTCTGCAGGTTGTTTCTGGAGTCACTGGAACTTCTGTGAAGTGCTGCTCATTGTTGCTGAGGTACACTGTGAGAAACATCTGAAAGCATAAAGAGAAACCATCGTTACCACATGGGTGGCTTTCACTTGCTCACCTTAGGTTCCTTTCCCCAACCCAAATCTCAGTCCCAGTATGAATGTACAGGAGTTGGGTTGACCCCCAGGCCACGTGGGGGAGGGGTCTGGAGCTCTTCCAACTGCATTCCTGCCTGGCTTGGGGACCCTTGAGTCTATCAAACCAGTTCATACAAATGGGAAAATTAAATCTTTTTTTTTTTAATTTTATTTATGCAATCTATACTGTTTACAAATATTCACACTGTTCTTAGTATGCGCCAGACTCATGGCCCAAGGTGGCAAGGGTGATTAGGGCAGGATGGGAAGTAGGGGACAGACAAAGGAGGAAGTCTAGTACCTGTACCATGTACACATTTACCTATTCAAAAACTGCATTTTTAAAAATATTTTTATTTTCTATTCAAGTTGTATCCTAGCTAGACTTTTTGAGACATAATTTCTTTTTTTTTTTTAACATTTATTTATTTATGCATACAGAACTGGGGTATAGGCCAGAGGTGCAAGGGCTGTGACAGAGCCCATCAGAGACAGAGTGTGGAGCAGAACAGGCAGATGGACAAAGTACACTGCTAAGGGGAGCAGCAGGCAGGACAGGAGAGGTCTGCTGCACCATGTGGGTCACCTCCAAGGCCGGAAATCAAGCTTGCACTAAAGCAGCTGCGGCTAGGTTGCAGTGTTGCATCCTAACCTGTTGTGCCTCCAGGAAAAGCCCCCAAACTGCATTTTTACATACACCTAAGTGACTTAATCACATTAAACACCTACTTAAAACACAAGACTTCATGAATAAGGTAAACTAGAAATAATTGCCAGTTACACCAAAATTTCTCTCTTGTATATAAATTCTTGTATATAAACATATAAGCTAGCAGATGATTTTTAAATCTGAAACTCATTAACAATGCTTCTCCCAGGAAAAAAAAAAAGATACTATATCTTAAAAATCCCTGTTACTAAAGTATTAAAATTTCAAACCTACTAAGTTACAAAAATAAATTTTGTCTACTCCCAATGCCAAAGAAACCAAGGGAAACAGCAAATTGTTGATGGCCATGTAAATGGACAAATTCCTATACTTGTTCAACTCAGCAGTACCTGCTCCACCAAATCAGCATCTATCAGATTTTTATGAAAAAAAAGTATAATCCCACAGAGAGAATTGATAATTATGGCAATAAATGGACATCCAGAAAAGAATGCAAAGACTATGGAACATAAACTTATTAATGCACCAGCATACAATCTACAAAGATAATGAGATTATACTAAGCCCTAGAGAAGATTTGGGTTTAACATCCACAAAAGAGCGGAGTAAGTAGGATCTGTACTTTATGACAATGACACAAGAACACCACACCAGGACAGAGTGTGGCAACAGCCATACAAATTCCCCTCCACCCAACTCCATAATTGAGAAAATTGTACTAGGTTATTCTCTGCACAAAAAACAGAAGTGGCAACTGATCAGAAAGATGAGTGGAAGTTGGTGAGAAATCAGACTGGGAACCTCAAGAATCTGGCCAGAGCACTGAGAGAAGACAATCCCCGGAGAAAGTGGTCTGAGTCGCCCCTAGGGTTTTCAGGTAGCTCCCACAAGCACTGAAACCCTGTTTTCTGAGGCAGTCAAAGCCTCCACTTCTTAACTCACATAAACATGTATAACACAGCAGATAAATCAAACAACTGGAAGGTAACCCAGAAGAATTAATGTTGAGACAACAAATAAAATGTTATTAAGATAACTGCTGTACTTCCCCTTATGAGCTTAAAAGCTTTGTTTCAGGTTTTCACATTTTGCTACACTGTACTACTTCATAAAGATATATAGTTCTTGGCATAAGTTTAACCAACAAGACAGTGCTTTATGACAAAAACCACAAAGCTTGAACCAAATCACTCAAATAAAATACAAAAGTTAAATTAAGGAAGCTCAGGAATTCCACCCTGCTGCTGCTCTGGCTCTGGCTCTGGCCCTGGCCCTGGCACACTGCAGACTTAACAACACAGATAAATAACTTATACTTTCTCTATATTTGACACCCAAACAAAAACTTTATGTCAAAAATAGTAACTATTTTTCTCAGTAAGCAAAAGACGTCCTGGTCTTCTGTTTATGAAATCACAGAAGTATTTAATGTGTGGTATAGATACTAAACACACACTACCAGCAAATACAAGGCTATTACATAAGATAATAGCCACCTTACCTTGCATACTTCATCGTTCAGACACTTACTGACTCTCAGATAAGCAGGCCAGGTATTATTTTCTCTTTATAAAAAAGACTCAGAGAAGTCATCTAGTTGGCTGCTAAAACAAAAGGGTCAGGGAACAATTCTATTCTTCTGACCCACCCTCTATTCTTTCTACCATTCCTTAAAGCAGAAAAATACTAAGAAATGCTCTATGTAACTAAGGTAACCCAAACTTTACTAGAAAACAACAGCTTGTGTATTTAAAAGCAGAATTACAAATAGGAAGGATGAGATGTGCCCTTTAAGACTTCTTTCCCCAAAACCCCACAGTATGACACAGGTATGACTGTCACGCACACGAGCTGACCCGTTTTCTACCTTTCAGGCTTGAAGATTAGCTCCGTGGTGATTTTAGTAATCGTACTCAAGTCCTCCAGGCTGGGCCAGCAATGTGACATTGCTGCAGACTCCCAGGCTGTGGTCTGGGTTCTCACCCCAGATGTGTTAATAATTAGTTAGACTACCGACCTAGGAAGTAAGGTCACCTCTCAGGCCCTTTCAGCTGCCTCATCTTCAAAATAAGAGTCTTTAAGTTCCTTAAGAGCTGCTTTTATTTCAGGTGTTTCTTAGGTGTCAGAGTAAAAGCCAACATCTTTACAACCGCCCACAGATTACAAGTTAGCAATTCAGACATGAAGGACCTGATGAAGGCAGAGGACAAAGAAAAAAGGATGATTCAACAGGGAAGACAGGGGCTGGTGACCAAATGATGATGGGGGACGGGGCGTGTGAGGGCCGTCAGTTCAGTGGGTGAGGAGCGTCCGCTCAGGTGGACGCTGGGGGATGCCTGGTTTAGTGATGGAGGAGGGAGACGGAGGGACAGTTGTTCTGTCCTGGACCAGCTGACTCGGGGGCAGTCCACACCAATACCTGCCCCTCACTAGGACCAGGAGGCTTCTCAGCAGGGAAGCGAAGTGTTCACGTGGTCACTGGGTGAGCACACTGTAAGGGGACAGGGCTGGAAGGCAACACGTGCACAGAAAATGAGATACAATGGCAGCAAGGCTGTGGGGAATAGCAAAGGTGGTAAACACCAAACGGCTGGATTTGGGGAATATTTTGAAGATAGAGCCAACAAAGCTTGCTTTTGGGACAGGATATAGGACGGGAGAGTAGAAAGAAATTAAGTGTGACCTGGGTTTGTTGTCTCAGCTACTGAGTAAACAGTGGTGCAATTTACTGAGATGAGGAGGGTGGAACAGGGCCCACAGGTCAGGGAGAAGCCTACAGACACTCAGGCGGGCATGGGAGGAGGCTGCTCAGTATACAGGTCTGACTGGGATGATAAAAGAGATGAGCAGATGGAGGCATTAAAGCCATTAAGACTAGAGGAGAACAACGAAGCTGGAGATCAAAAAGAATGCTGAGGACTCTGCCTTGAGCTGGTCAGATGACATCCAGAGGGCCCCCCCCACTCCTGCCCCGCACCCCCGAAGTTTAAGGATCCAGCAAAAGAAACAGAAAAGTCTCTCAATTAACACACACACAGAGAAAGAAACCCAGAAGGGTGTGGTGTACCAGAAACCAAGTTAAGACAGAGTTTCAACTGAGGCAAACAAAATGTTAAGAGGCCTCAGAAATGAGGGCTGAGATCTGATCCCCAGATTTGGCAGGAGGGAGGTTGCTGGGTGTCTGGACAGGCACCGCCTGAGTAATGGGGATCAAAGCCTGGTTGGCACAGGCTAGAGAACTCGCAGGAGGGGCACAGAGATGCAGCACAGGTAACTCTTCAGTGCTTTTCTTAAACCCAAGGCAGAGACGATGGAGCCACAGATGGAAGATGACAGAGTGGAAGGAGTGCTTTGTTTTCATTTCAAGATGGGAGTTTTTTCAGAATATTTTCACAGACCACAATAATTCACTAGAGGGGAGCATGGTTTTGATGACACTGAATCTCTCTTCCTCGAGTGCCTCAGACCAAAATTCCCCACCCAAGAAAAGCGCTGTCTGGAGCTCCCCAAACACTTCACACTCACTGCCAAAGTGCCAGGGCCACCTTCCTGTCACAGTGGTTATTTCCTTTGTTTGTTATAGTGACCACTTCCTTTTTAAACACAAATGTAATTTATCAAGTTTGCTGATTTCTTAATCAAACACTATAACAAGTGGCAACAATCAACCAAGGAAAGTTGGCTCTAAGCTATATTACTCTGACACTTCTGCGACTGAGGAACAGTATTATGGTCCCTCACAAGGGGCTGGGTGGAGAAAGACCACCACTCCCAATAGTTACCAGAGACTATATAGTATCCAGAATTACTATTTTCCCTCCTAGAAAATTATGGTTAGAAATAAATAAAAGTACCACACCTCTTAAAATAAACCTTTTAAACTCATATCATCTTCTCTTTAGACAAAAGTGTGCCTCAATTTATGAAGATTAAGTAACCATTTACACTTAAAGTTTAAAATCTTTTCAAGTTATAATCTGGTCATAGTAATGAGCCTTAGTGTAATCATTGACATATAATTATTTAAAATTCTACCTCTCTGGTAGTGTAGAAGTTAAAGACACGGCTCTATCAAGCTCCTGCCAGCCACTGTGGCAAGAGTTCAATCCCTGGCCAGAGAGGTGACCCACATGGCACAGCAGTCCTCTCCTGACCCGCCCGCTGCTCCCCTCAGCAGTGTACTTCATCAATCTGCCTGTTCTGCTTCCCACTCTGTCTCTGGTGAATCCTCTCACCACCACCACCCCCTGACACAC